CTTGTGAAATACAAATTTATAGTGTTGTTCAAACCAGCGAGTGGTTGGATCAGGAGACAGAAAGAGAGAACAGACACAAAGGGCACTTTGAAGAGAAGGAATGAGGCAGAAAATAAGGGGGAAGGTGCAACCAAGGTCAGTGTCAAAGAGATTTATATATCCAAGATGATAACAGTGAAGTAGTCATGGGATTTTTGGGGGTTTATTTGTATAAAGGTTTATTGCCAAAAACAGTTTTGATTGATAAGCCACATTGTGGCATACATGAAACTGCAACATAAAATGCACAAACAACAACAATAAATACACTTTTCAGATACTGGATCAAAAATAACAATGCAAACTCACGACTATCTTTATACAAGTACTGCCTCTCACCCTTCAAACATCTCTCCTTCTCTGACACACAAACTTAGCACATGTGAAACATATAAAAATTGGAAGGAACAGGCTATTTGTACAATGATAAACTATGTTTTAGCACACTGTGGTGGACATAGTTGAGATGGAATGAACTGAGGTCTAATCCTTCAGTCTCGTTCATACACACGGGTGCAGACAACATCTCCGGCTCTCATGGTCTGGAAAAATAAACATCAGAAACCACCATCCAACTGTTTAAACAATTTAAGATTCATATCCGATGGGCTTAAACATATTAACACATGTTAAATATTCACATATCGAATCAGATCTTGTTCTCTGAATTCAAAGCATTGAGGGGCCTGTTTACTGTAAGTGGCCTTAATGGGAGCTGTGTGACTTCTAATAATGTGAACATCTACACATCATAAATATAATGAGAATGAATGAACAACATCTATCACTGCAAGGTGTTGAGCATTTTAAGATGCTCATAGAGTAGGCTGGTTGTGGTCTATATTATATGCTACTGGGATAATTCAGTTGAATATGTTCAAATAGCTTAAATGTGTACTTACGAGAATCATCTGGCCATCATTGGTCAGTTCACGTGTCCATGATGTTTCAGGCCCCTCCCCCTTCTGCAGTGTCTGCTCACAAGTGATTTTACTGTCTGTTTCCCATTTGGGAAAACTCTTGAGGGGAAATTGAAATAGTTAGAAAACAACAAAGAGCTGGGATATTCATTTATAATGTCTTTATAGTCACTTTAAAGGATTGTTTGCTGAAAACATGCATCTAAGTTTTTGTGTGTATAGATACAAGTGAACTTTCACCATCAAAGTTAGTATATATATATATTCATATTTAGTGTTAGTGTTATTTAGTGAGTTTAGTGTTAGAAAATATAAATAATAATATAGTTTATAATATTTATTGATATTGTTTTCTAATAGTAAACTTTATATATGATAATCAATATTATAATACATTTCTGTCTTATGTAACATGCTTGTGTCTAGCGATTTACAGAGAGAAGAATATGATGTGCTGAGATGTAGGGAATGATGGATTGATAGAGAGATGATGGGTGGGTATTACTGTGCATGGGCGTCCATCCACCGTAGCCTCGTTGAAGGACTCGCCCACCGTGAAGGACACATGAGTGGTCCGCACGCTAGTGGAAGTCTGAATGGAGAGGCTTTCCCCTTGCTGTGTAATCTCAACAGCTGGTTTGGAGGCTGCTGCAACTGCAATCTTCCTCAGAAAGACATTTACGCCTGTAGAACACACCCACAAATGTGCTAAGAAATTAAAAGGCCATTCATCATTATCAGAAATCAAAGCCATTTTTCCTACGGCCAATTTCCTGTGTTTAATGAGCATGTCCAATTTCCACGGGAATGTTTTACAATTTAAACAGCGGTTGCATATTTATGCAATTAAAATTTGGTGCCCCAGTCTTAATGTTTACACCAAGGAAGTATTTTTTTAAAAATATTGAGTCTCAAACAGAATTCATTATATTTACTTTAGGGGCAACAGCACACTTAGTCTGCTTGAACTCCCTCTGGCGTGAATAATTGGGGTCGAGGGACGGTGTGTCTGCAGAGCCAAACGGCTGGCCGAGGGGCCCTGTGTCAGGGTTTGTGAGGCTAATCACAATCCCATGAGGAAGTGAAGCATAACATTGCTCCATGCAGCTTTCCATTGATTGTGCTTATGGTCAAACTGATTCTCAGTAGGCTATATATATATATTTTTTTTTTTTTTGGTAACACTTTATTTTGATGGTCCACTTTAAACATTCTACACATTCTTATCTATAAGTAACTTTGCAACTTATCTGATAACACTTTATTTTGATGGTCCCCCAACAGACATTTTACAGACTATAGGCTAAGTAACTTTGCAAGTAAGCCTACATGTCAGCTTATTCTACTAATCTGAACCCTAACACTCTACTACAGTCTACTAATACTCTAATGAGGGTTAGTTGACATGTTGCAAACTTATAGAATTTCTAAATTGGACCATCGAAACAGCTTTTTTGGTTCGATTTATAGCAAACAACAAAATTATAACAAAATGGCTAATTTTATATTGTAATTTTTTTTAAGTAATAATAGTTTTTTTTAAGTAAGTAATAATAACAAATATATACCACTTATCCCAGCACTTTTCTGACTTTTAATGAGACTTTTTTTTTCCTTTTTTACAAGGCAGTAGCCCTAACAACAACATAGATTTTACTTTTAAGCCTCACAAATATCAAATTAAAAAAACGGCACGAATACAAAGATCAAATGTGTTTTAAACTTAAAAACTTTTAATGATTTCTCCTTTTAATAATCTCAGACATATTCTTTTATAATAATGAAGAATCTTTAAAAACTCACCGAGTGCTTTCAATAGCTCCTCGAAGTATTCTGAACTTTTCATTTTCCAGGATCCAGAAAAGTCAGCAAACGTTCGCTCCACGTTTGATTCCATGTTTCTTCTTATCTTTTCTTTCAAACAGTTGTTTTGGATGTCTCTCCTCCGAGTCCTCTCATCTGCCGGCGTTCAGCAGACTTTCTCTCTCTCAGATCAGCCTGTAAATGTGCGCTGAGTTCTCGACCAATCCGGAGCGTTTGCGCCTGTGCGGCGTTTCATTGGGCGGCCACTGCTCGCGCACAGCGTGCTTCCAGTAAAGATCCAACTAGACCCCTATTTGCCCCACCATTTCCCTTGAGCGATCGGGTCATTCTGCTAATTCCCTCAATTACATCCTAATACGTGTTATTTGTCATTAGCAGGCGCTTTTATCCAAAGCAACTTGCAGCATGCTTACTACAAGACCTCTTCCTTTCGTCATGGATCATTCACATCTCCTCTAAATTTGGAGTTCTGCAGTAACTTGTTTTGAATTAATATTATTTAATTGAACTTTAGTAACATTTAGTTATCATCTACTGAATTAGAAGGCATTCCATTATGTTTAGGAGTTTTTGTCAAAAAAAAAAAAAATTTGAAATGGTGTAAAATACATGGAAACCCCCATATTCAGATCCCTTTCCCTCATATAAACATGCCAACAAAGACATCTCATGCTGAGCTTTGTTAGTATTCAAACCACAACAGTCAGCCATTGTCAGTCAATCATATCACAGCTTCAAATCTGGGCTCTCTTCTGTTCTGTCTCTTGCTGAGCGCTTCTGTAGACTCCTCTGTGTCTGTGGCCTATAAGACTCTGGCTTTGAATTTGCATTTAGGCTTCCTTTAAAGATTTCAGGGACTTTGTATTCCCAAATAAATTTCAATAAACCACTACTTGTTGAGACTATAACAATAGTCATTCAAATAATAGTATATTAGTAAATTATAAAGTAACCTTTTTGTTTGTTTACATTACCCTTTGAGGCGAATTTGTAGCCTATAAGAAAGCATGTGATTCTGTGACAGGCATGCACTAAAATTGATGAATGTTATAAAGTTCTTCTGTTGACTATTTCCTGGTTTCACAGACAAGGCTTTAAAGCCTATAGTCCCAGACTAAAATGCATGTTTTAGCTGTTTAACTCAAAGCAACCTGCACTCATATATCTTAAAATATGTCAGTGCCATTGTTTTGTCTCAAGATGCACACCTAATGTTTTTTCTAAGGCACGTTTATAAAAGCTACTCAAATAGCCTAATTTAACCAGGCCTAATCCTAGTTTTTAGCCATGTCTGTGAAACCAGGGCTATGGTAATCTGGAATTAAAAAGCTTCATCTTAAAATGCTTTGAAGACAAAATAGTGTTTTAATCATTCTAAGGCCATATGTTACAGACCCTGATTTCTGATTATTTCAATCAGAGCTTTATTATTATTCATGTTTATCAATATCCAAATGAATTTTGCCAACAGCTCATGACCTTAATAAATGATGAAGTATCATCATTAGTTTTCGTTTATCAGTTCCATAATTCACTCTCTCTTTCTCTCGCTTTGCTCCAATCTGCTTCACTTCATTTCGGTCTGTTCCTTTTGTGCACGTCTCCACATTCCTCATACAAATGCCGTGAAAGAAGCAGCGAGGAGACGAGAAGCAAATGGAGTGTTTGAGTGGCCAAAAGGGAGTCAGGGAGGAGAGAAAGAATGAGGCCATGTAAACTGAAACCACATCCTCTTCTCCAAATGCTCGGAGGTAATTACCAGTCGATTCCTTAGCTTCTCCCCACCCGTCTCTTTTCTCTCCCTTTTACCCCCTGACCCCCCCACCAAGAACATTTCAACAAGTCTGGATAAGAAATGATATCCCTGGAAATGGAACAGAGGAAAAGCGGAGGGGGAAAACGAGTGAGAGAGAAAGAAGGAAACTGTATATTTTCAGCCAGAATGGAGACAGTGGCAAAAGTTCAAGCTGTTTTCTTGCTCTCACTTTGAATGCTTCCCCTAAAAGCGCATCAGCAAGTCTTTCTTTGAAGTGGTCGAGTCAATAAAGCTACTTGAATTTGAATGAGAAAACAATCCTGATTCCACATTCACCTACTGACCCCATTATTCGGGAGACGGTGAGGAATTCATGTATGAAAGAAAGAGGGGGAATTTTTCTACATAAAAAGTCAATTATTGGGAGACTAAGTGAGCCGTTTGTGATAACAATCACTATGCCATGTGAAGAGCCTTTCGTTTCACAAAACATAGGAGCTCAATGGACCTAATATGCAGGCTTAGTTAATTCTGTATGCTATTTCTTTAACGGTACTATACATTTAACTTCTAAAATGAAGGGGAAAACAAACAGCATTTAATTATTATTAATACTCCAGGTGTATTATTTTTTCCTCTAATCAACAAATATGCATTCCTGAGAATATTGTTGTAAAAGGTAATCATTTAATAGGTTTTTGCTGTGTCCTTAATTTAAATGTTCATCCTGTTAGTCATCCTCCAGGTGAAATTTTACATAAAGTGTTATAAAACTTAAAAAATATGCTTAAAAATATCTAAATTAACATCAAGGTCGTCCCTCATGTAATCTCTCACTGAGGAATGGTTAACTTTAGCTCTTTATTTCCATCCTGTTAGGTTCCGTCCTGTTTTGTAAATGAAGCTATAAGTAGTTGTAAAAATCTTTCAAATTAATACATTTGCATGAGTTAATTTCTCTTTTGTGTGACTGAGCCGTTGAAACACACAGTAGCCTATTCTAGTTCATGAATCGCAACTGTTGATTTTTTAAAATCCATTTGGCGCCACCTAGAGTTCGCGAGATCAAGTCCAGGAACTGTCTGCTCAAACGATCGCATTTCCACACGAGCACAATTGACGGTAACACGGAGGAAACATGGCGAACCACCTTCGCTTCATCGCTCGGACTGTCTTGGTCCAGAACGGCAATGTCGATGCTGCATACGGCGCTCTGAGCAGGTATTTATCGGATGTCGAGTGATTTTGAGATCTATATATTTAAGAAATGTCGTTATAAATCTATTAACTGGTGTAACCCCATCATAATAACACGACACATGTCAAGTGATGTAAACCTACCGCTACTGATCTGTTCTCAGTACGTTAGGTCATTTAGTTGATGCAACTATGAATGCACTGCTGAAACTTGCAGAGAGCCCTCATCAAGACTTTGAACGAACCAATAAGTTATATAAAAAATAGAATTAGTAGATTTTCCTGGTAACGCATAATAACATGAGTATGTTAAATAATGAATGACAGGTCATTAGTTAGGGTTCATCGTAAATTAGTTTATTTTAAACCTTGTTGCCTGCGGTGTTATTTTAGTATTTTCTATATGCTATTATAGTTTGTATTAATATTTTTATTTACCTTTTATTTTATATATATTATATTTTAATTACAGTTTAATTTTTAGTAATTGTATGTGCTTTTTAATTTATTTTTAGTTCAGTTTTAGTTCGTTCATATCTAGTTTTTAATTATTTCCAGTTAGCAATATTCACGCTACAACTTCAACTTATTTCAGCTATGCCAAAGTGAGATTTGTAATCTTTGATCTATATATATTTTTTCATCTAAAATGTGGTTTATTTTTTCTGCTTTTTCAATTAGCAAAATTGTTTTTAATAGTTTCAGTTAACGATAATAACCTTGGTTGCCTGACCTTGTAATTAGCTAAAAAAAAAAAAATCGGAATAATGTCTTAAATAATCTCAATTTCAATTTTGGTGTGCTTTATTTGCATGACAAAACTGCATTTGTATTGCCAAAGTTTTTGCAGAGTAACATGTGCTCTGAGGAGAAAGTATGCAATGTTAAATGTATAAAATGGTAGCCTATATAATATAAAATAAAAAAAAATAGGAATATTAAAATATCTGTAATGCACTAATGTGGTGAAAGAAAAGGATATAAATTGTCAGTAGATTAAATGAAATAAAGTCAATGAAAAATTGTAAGTTAGATACATCATTGCAGAAGTTTATTAGGGGCTGCAGTTGAGTTGTAGTCATGCAATCTGGGCATGAACATATGATCAAAACACTGATTATATCAAAACTCTTACCTTGGATCGGTTTTATAATCATACTTTTGCAACGCTTAAGCTTGGATTTGGTTTGAAAGGTTGCCTTGTTTTCAGCCATTTAACCAAATAATTCATTAGGCTATTTCATGTTTACAAATATTGTAGTTGTTATGTGCTCTTTTTCTCTGCAGAGTGCTGTCCTCTGACGGAATAATTGAATCTGTGAAACGTAGAAGATATTATGAGAAACCCTGTCGTGAGCGACAGAGAAGGAGTTACGACAACTGTAAGAGAATCTACAACGCTGAGATGGCCCGCAAGATATCTTTCGTAGCAAGGTCACAAAGACAAGATCCATGGCTTGGATGTTAAGATGACACAAACTGACTGTTCATGTTGACCACCAGATGAGTCATGCATTGTGATCTGCCTCAGAAGCACCTTAGGTGTTTTACAAAGATGAAGATCCACGGGAACATTTGAACACGTAGACCATCAAAAGGTCATTGCAGGACTGTTCTATCATCACCTTATTTCCATCTTGTGTTGTGATATTGTAGGCTATAAACCACTGTATGTTTTTATTAATAATAAAAATCATAGGAATTTGTCATTTTTATTAAACATCACTAACAATAAATGCATTGTACATAAATATGAATTGTGTTTTATTGAATGTAAAAAATATTCTTTTCAGTGCTAGCAATTAAAATGTGCACATTATGCAATGTTTAAAGTAGCAATAGCAAACCAATTCAAACAAATGCTAAATGAAGTGGGAACAGCGTAGTCACTCATTAATCTTATCTTTTCTCCATGCTAACAATTTGAAAATGTAAAAGGTCTGTTAAAGCCTGAGACCTATCAGTGATTCTTTTAAGTCTACCTACAAATTTTGTTTATGTAGTCTGTCTACATTTTTAAATGACTGGTTAAATATTGGGGAAGTATTGCTAAACTCTATTGTCTGGTAAAGTGGAATTACCAGCGGCTTTAAAAAAAGAGACTAAACCAGACGGTATATGTAATGAGTGATTATAATCAAGGTATAAATCAATATTTTTCCTTCTAAATATCACACTAGGCTTGTGAGATTTTACTTTGTTATAGAAGTTACCAGTGTGATTACTGAAATGTTTGTTTCATGTATTCTCTAATG